CCATGCTGACACAGAATCCATTCTCACTAACCAATTCACAGGGGTTACAGTGTCAAACTTGTTAGAAGTATCCAGCATTAAGATCTTGCAATCAAATCATATTATCCATTTTATTATAGGTTATCCTAGAGTAAGTTTAGCCTGTAAGAAGATTATGATGTACCCGGTTGAGCACAACGGTACAGTACTGCAGCTAGAGGAGAACATCGTAGCCGAGTGCGAGAGCCAGGTGTGGGCCGTTACGGGCTGCACCTCCACTACCACTACTACCTTCTGCAGAAAAAATCTGGGTGGTTCCTGTGCGCAGGGGCTACACTCCGGAGGCACGGCACATTGCAGCTCTCAACCCAGCCACCTGGAACCCGTCACCTTGGTAGATGACGGGGTTATTATCATCAACAACAGACCCGCCACCATCAGTTGTGATTCCGACACGTTGGTTAAAACCTCAGGAACGCAACTGGTCGCCTTCAATGACTTTGCCACCATCAACGGCTCACGGTTCCTGAATCGTGACAACACCAAACGCCGGGTGCCGGGCATCGCTTCGGTGCCCGCCCTGAATATCGCAGGGCACCACGCGGTCCTGAGCCTACCATTCCTCCAGCAGCTCAGCGAAGACAATCTGAACTACATTAAGGAGGTCGAGCGAAACGCAACGGGCAAGGGGAATCCTATCCTCGCCTTTGGTCTAGGAATAACCCTGTGCGGAGTCATCGGAAGTATCGTCTACATCAGATCCCTACTCAGGAAGAGGAGGGATTTGGTCCAGGTCAACGCGCTGATAGAAAATTTGAGAGGCTCGAGGGCGACCACTCTTGAAGAGGGGGAGTAGTTAACACTCCCCACCAGCCATAGGGTATCGGCAGGGGTCTTAGTTATAAGAATGCTGACCCAGCGCTGGCATGGAAAGGGGCGGCAACATATTACTATGTTGCATAAACATCCGCCCGACCAACTGGGTCCGCACGAGGCGCTGACGTAGCGAAACTTGAGACCGCTGCTCAAGCAGCGCTGCCCAGGCTGGGGGCCCCTATGGATAATTATAACATTTTTGTATTTTAGTTTTTAACTCAATGCTGAACCGAGCCGATGGTTGCCGGTAATAAATAATTAAACTCAATCCCGTTCTCTCATTACCGACGGCTGACGCTTCGGTGTACATTGGGGAACAATAATAGAATAATTTGTATATATGCGACGACAGAAAAGATCGAGAGATTGCAAAGGCATGCAAGTGCTGGACCAGATCATGGCCTTTGCGAAGGCATGTTAGGGCAGACGGACCAAATTACCCGTGCCCTACGCTATGCTAAGAACAGAGATCGATAGAACGAAAGAGCGATATAGCGAGATAGTAAAGTAAAGGAGAAAGGCAAGAGTCGAAGAGATGAAAGAACGGTTGCATAGGCGAATAGATTGAGTAATTATAAGCAGTTACAATGTTTATATGCAGTGGGCAATTCAAATAGCAAACAAAGGTGAAATTACGTTAGTTGCGCCACTGGCTATTATTTGAGGTATTTGTTGGGGATTTTCCGGCTGGGAAATCAGACAATCAGTATATACTACAAACACACGTCCCAGCAAATATTGACGAAAACGCTTAACAGCTTCAACAACTGCCAACGTCTCCAATTCATAGGAATGATATCTTGACTCAGCGGAGGAAGTGGTTTTGCTAAAATATTCTACTACATGAGGACTGCCATTGATTCGATGCATTAACATAGCACAGGAACTCGCATCTGTATGCAATTCAATTGGGTATTCTGGGTTGAAGATTACAAGAACTGGTTCATTTGTAAGAATGGTAATGACCTTCTTTCGAATCCTTTCCAGCTCTGCATTCCAAGAAAAGCTTTCCTTCACTGATGTAAGAGAATAGAGTGGCTTCATCATTTGTGAAAATCCAGGCACAAATTTACGAAAATATGAAGCCAAACCGATGAATTGTCTCAAGCTACTAACTGATTCTAGGGGAGTTAGGGAGTTCAAGGCAATTATTTTACCCTAATTCGGCCTTATCTCTCCAGCTCTCACCTCATATCCCAAATACTGAACAGCATTTTTAAGAAAACTACACTTTGAAATGTTGAACTGCAGAATCCAGCCCTATTCAAAATATCCAGAACAATTTTTAATCTCTCCAGACCCAACTCAATTGTGGGTGACACCACCATAATATCATCCATGTAAACAATAACGTATGACTGAGCTAAGTCACCAGTGCATTCATGACGCTACGCTGAAAAACGGATGGTGCATTTTTCAAACCAAACGGCATTTTCAAAAACTCGTATTGAACTTCTGGGGTTACAAACGCAGTGTATTCTACCGAATCAGAGCGCATTGGTATTTGATGATATTCGCTAGCCATGTCTAAACAAGTAAAATAATTAGCTCCACATAGTCTGGAAATCTGGTCATCGATGAGTGGCAAGGGGTATTTGTCAGAAAACGTGGTTGAGTTTAGCTCTCTATAATCGACACAAAGTCGGTCCGAACCGTTTTTATTTTTTACAAGCAAAATAGGGCTAGCGTACGGAGAACAGCTGGGTCTAATGGTGTTACATTTTAGTAACTCACTTATCTGAGACCGAACTGTTAGCTTTTCTTCAGGGCTGAGTCTATACGATCGCCGCTGCACGGTTTTGTTTGAGTCTATTTATCGTAATTTCATTTCACCAGTGCTAACAAAAGAGCAAGGCGTTCCGTCAATGAAAGCTACAGAATATTGTTCAAGGTTTTTAATCAACTTATCTTTGTCAATATCAATCAGGTCAGTATTAACATTAAATACACTAGCTGGCATTTCATAAGCTGCACAAACATTAACAGATTTGGTTTTCAAGATTATAAATCTATCGAACGAAAGTAAAACATTAAAACCTTGCTTAAGAATTTCTCGTCCAACTACAATATCATTCTGCAATTGTTTATCTTGTACGGAATAAAACAATATTTCAAGATCATTTTCATTAATTACAACAGTGCTTAAGATTTGCAATGTGCTGTATTTACCAGCATCGCCAATACCCTTTAACATTACAATGTTATTGATGCGTTTCCTCGATAAATGTTTACCAATACTCTCTCTGATCAACGAGCATTCAGCCCCAGTGTCAAAACAAATTGTAAAGATCGTACCTCGCTGTGTCATACTTCCTTTAGGCTCTGACACAAAGATTGATGCTCTTCTGCTTTAATGCTCCAGATTTGGTAACGGTCGCCTCCCTGGAACATTTGTTAGCGAAATGTCCACGCTGGCCACACCGAGAACAGGTCACGTCCTCTCTCAGCGGCTTCGTTTCCCTCTTGAAGTTGTGTCCAGTTCCATCCTGCAGTTGCTTAGTGCGACAGTTTTTCATTTTATGTCCTGGCTTCTTACAAAAAAGGCACAACAGGGTAGACTGCCTTAATCGCTTGCAGTCGGGTTCCATGTGTTCCACTGTTCAAGCACTGCGTTTGTTTGTAAATGCAAGGGCCGTCAACTCCGACTGCAGCTTGCCTCGGGTGGTCACATTTGAAGTGAAAACAACTCTCTGCAAGCGACTGCCAAAATTTGCCATATGCGCCAGAACAGCAAAAACAGCGATTTCTTCGATGTTCATGTTTTTCCACTTCGACATAAGAGAAGTTACCAGGCGGCTTGCGTACACTGCATAGCATTCGCCAGCAGAGGGACGGCTGCTAAACAAATTTTAGCAATATGGCACCCGACGTCTCTTCGGTCTCATACCGCTGCTTGAAAAGTTCCTTGAACTGGTTCCACTCAATTCCGGCACAACACACTTGGGTCAACCATTGCGAAGCACTGCCCTCCATGCAATTGCTCAGTGCCAAAATGAGCCCACTGCCCGTTAGCGGATTCTCCGATAAAATAATATCAGCGGTCACACACCATTGGGAGGCGTCAGCGCCCACTGCGTCAGGGTTAAATTTTGGAAGAGTGACGAAACTCTTCTGTGTAGTTGATGCTGCATAGCTTTGGCCAGCTCGAGAACTACACGCAACTGCTCCACAGATATAGCAGGAGTTGGCACAGATTCCACTTCTCATGTTGGGTTAATACTTTCCTGGATCTGCCATTTTAACTAGGGTTCTACGTGAATAGAGAATGACTCCGCTTGGCTTGTGGTGTGGGACGCTTGTCTCTAACGCAACTACTTTCTCGGTATTGTAAACCAGAGCTCCGAGAGAATTATTACTCGTTACGCAATTTCCCTTTGTCTCTATATCTGCCTCCCTCGCACTCACCACCGCAGAGGAACACGCTCGACGTGCTTCCCTTTCTCTAGCTCCTATTATTCTCTCCGAACGAGTTTTTCAAAATACACTCGCTAATGAACACCTGGCCGACATAGAAAAAACTGCAATTCGGCCAAGGAGATGAAACATACGACAAAGACCGAAGTACAAAGGAAACAGTGATAATACACTGAGAACAATCAAAAAGGGGATTCGTAGTCACCCAAAAGACCAAAATACACTGTGAATATTATTATGATCCGACATATCTTTCAAATTGTGCCTGCCACAGATTTTCGTCCTTTGTGGGGGCGGAAGCGGGTGGGGCGAAATTTTGAAATACACTTGTAGCAGTGTGATATCACATGAGTCTGAACATCAAATTTGGTTTCTCTAGTCTCTGAGATCTAGGCGCCCATCAAGACGGACAGCCGGACGGACGGACATGCCTATATCGACTCGGCTATTAATGCTGAATATAGAATATATATACTTAATGGGGTCGGAAACGTTTCCTTCTATGCGTTGCACACATCCACTATTCCCCTTAACTCTTTTTTGAGTACGGGTATAAAAAGTTGGTTTTGTTCAAAGCGGCGAAATGGTGTAATCAATCTTACTGAAATGTTATGACTAGTTCATTAACTATAAGGTAAAATTTTGTAGCACTAGGAATATTAAAAATAAATAAACGAAAAAAAAGCAAACAAATCAAACTATAATAAAATAAGACATTAAAAAGTTCTTACTTGAATCCATTTATTAATCGCAATATTATAAAAATGAAATAAATTGGAGCAAAAGAAGATAATATTCCAAATATACCATCTGCCAATAAAGTAGTAATTAGAACCACACGTCGACCTTTCGTATCCGCGAGACATCCCCAAAAATATGATCCAATTAACATTCCTAGCATAGGCGAAGCAGATAGCCATCCTTTGTCTGTGGATGTCATGGCAAAATCGCATGTAGCAGATGGCAAAACGAACGATATAATTGTCACACCTATGGCTGTGTTCATGTAAATTAAACCACATATTGTCAGCAAAAGCAATTGAAAATTTCCGAATCCAGTTTGAAGTAATGCGTTTTCATAGTCACTTGCAAAGTCTTCCAAAAAGTCAAGGCCTGGAAATTAAAGAAAGAAAATATATATATAATATATAAATATGTCAAACTTTCTCGTAGTGTGGGGACGTATTTCGTACACGCTCCTGGAAATATGTTGATGTGGACAACTCTAATAGAAACGAGAAGGAACGTGTGAGTCGCTTCTGGGGACACGACTCTACTTACACCCGTAGTAAGTCAGTATATACATTTTTGAGCTTATGATTTAATAGAATTTTAGAAATAAAAAAAAATTACATTTAAATTTTTTTGCTACATCTACATATACAATGTATATTATACATCTAACACGTATATTGTACATGTTCCATTTAGATTCTACATTTCCTCCGCTAGGGGTTGCTCGCGCACTGAACGCGGCAGAGTGTGCGAGCGAGAAAGAGATAGGTAGCGGGTCTCTGGCAGGAGGGGGCGGAAGAACCAACAGAAAATTTTTTTCTTCATTCTAGCTATAATTATGATCCGATCTTATTCAGATTCGGCAACCTGGTAGATATAATTATTCTCTACGATACTGCGTTCGTATCTTTAAAATTGTGCCTGCCACAGATTTTCGTCTTTTGTGGTTGCGGAAGGGGGCGGGGTGAAATTTTGAAATACACTCGTGGCAGTATCTACAATATACCTGTTGAGCTACTGAGCTTCTTCAGCAGCGTTGTATTGCGATATTATTAAAAAGTCGATGATTGTTCAATATATACATTTACAGTTTATTGTGGTGAAGTAAATAAGCAATACAGAGTCGAATTATAGTTAGCTGGATTCAAGACGGGGTCAGATTGAAGACGCGGGGGTCGGTTCAAGACGGTGTCGGATTGAATAGCTCGATTCCAAGACGATGCGCAGTGATTGCAAGATCAAGACTAAATCAAAGGGCAGGCGGGCCGAATTGCCCGTGCCCTAATGCGAGCGAGAGAGCGACAGATCGAGAGTGATAACGAAAGGCGATAGAAAGAAAGGTGTGAGTTGAAGACGCGAGAGAACGGTGGCATAGGCTGCTGCCGTGCGGGAGCATGTCAAAAAGCTGAACAATAATAGATATTTACTCTACTGCTGCACCACTGACTATGATCTACTGATTACTTGGCTGCGTAACCAAACATACTCCCTCGTTGAAGAGCACGGGTCTTTAACAGGGTTCAGCAGGCAAAGCTTGTTGTTGATGGGGCCGTTCTTCCTTCCATCGAGACCTGTAGATTCGATGCATGGAAGCAACGTAGTTGTCCGGCACCTAGTCGGTTGAAGTTGAGCCATGTAACGTGAGGCTCGGCGACAGAAGAAGAGGCGAAGAAGAATAGCGCATTCAAAGCAGGCACTGGAGGTGATGTGTCCAGATCAGCATGAATGCCTGAAATGAAAACTGGATTTGTAGAATTCTCTGCCCTCCCTCTAATGGACCAACATTGGGATGGTCTTGGGACCAGCAGAGCTCGAGGTCCAGCGCGATGTCCAGCAGTAGGTCCGTCAACAGATAGAGGGGACATGTTCAGCTCTTTCGAAAGAGCCCCTCGCGAATGAATATCGGCCGAAAAGGAGCGCTTGCAGGGACTCCACGGTGTTTGACGGGCCGATATCGAGAAAACAGGTTGAGCAAAGACTGAATCCGGTGCAAGTCCAACTGTTTTGATTCCATCGAGACCACCGTCGAACTTCAAATAGGATTCCTTATCCTCTGCTCCATCAGGCGTAGACGACATAATTGAATGATCCAATTGGCATTGAGGTCTCTCGAAAACTCCAATTGCTTCCAAACTCGAACAAGAATCCACTTGAGATGTGGCAGGTGTGATTCCCTCAACAACTCCAGTGTTTCGGAAGTGGACCGCTTAGTGATCTCTGAGAGAATGATCCCATTGAGCGTCACCAACAGATCCTCAAAGTCATCGGCGAGTTCACTTCCAATCTCGTCGAAGTCCAGCTCCTCGAGTTCACTGTGCACGGTTTTAAAAGTTCCGTGCAGCTCCTCGATTTGCTTCAGCCTGCCAACGAGCATGAAGTGGTCGAAAAGGGAAGCGCTCTCCAAAACAACTTTTAGCTGCTTCATCCGTTCAAATAACGCTGGTTCTTTCCGCTTTAGGAAAGCCAGACTGTTTCCAGCAGCGGTCACTGCACCGTTGTTCCTCGCACCCATTTCGGCGCAGGCGCTAGAAAACGTTCCTTGCGGAAGTCGAGCGGATGTGCGGACGTTCTACGCTTACTATTTACGAAGCTGTAAAACTGTTTAGGGTCCTGTGAAAACCATAACCTGCACCGAGATAGGCAATTTTTATAGCATTTGGCGTTAAAAATGGAGAAATTTTACCTAGCTATTACACAGCGAGAGAGAAAAGAAGGAGAAACAACTTCTCGAAATTTTTTATAAAGTCTTGATTTTAAGTTTTTTAGACTGGATAACTCTTTGGTAAACCAAGGAGGCTTTCCAGATCTAACCGGACAAGAAAGTGGGACACAATAATCAAAAAATATAGTGAGCGGAAGAGCTCGGGTTAACAACGCTATGGTCGGATCCAAGACAAAGCACAGATCAAGCAATCGACCCAAGGAATTTTTCACATGGTTGACTTGAGACAGGGATAGGTCTAGCAAGCCGTCAATAAAGTCATGTCGTGACATGGGCACAAGGTTATTAGACTCGTTTACCGAAGACCAAACAGTACCTGGCAAATTGATTTCACCAATAACTATCATATGGTCTTTATCTTATAGCGAGGAAGAAACAGTTTTTAAAGCGGACAGGTGATGCTCGTATATTATTATATGCGAGGAAGGTGGAATATACCAGCGAGTAATGAAAATGGAAAAGCCTGGGAGAATCAGTTTTACGCACAGGAATTCCAGGTCTTGTTGAACCTGGACCATGAAATGTTCCGACGTGAAGTTTGAGTCCACTGCAATGAGAACCCCACCTCCACGTCGAGACAAACGGTCATTTCTAAAAATTGTGTACCGACCTGCCAAAACTTCGGAACTAAGGATGTCCGGCTTTAACCAGGTCTCGGTGAACACAATAACGTGGGATGAGAATGCGAGACTCTCAAGGAAAAGAGTGCTGAGCTTACTACGCAAGCCTCTAGCATTCTGGTAGGTAACTAAAAGAGAGGAAGTTAGTTTTTTGGATAGTAGAAGTAAAAAATAGAAGTTGAGGTGGAAGATGAGGATGGAGATGGAGCACTGGCTTGAATGCTGGGAAGAGTAATGGGGCCTATTGTTTTTCTTAGCCTTAAACTCTTTAACCACCAAATGCTCCGGCCAAAACTTGGCGAAACAAATGGTTTCAAATTGAGTTGGGGAGACACTTATCTTAAAGGAAGATATCTCCCTGGCGTAAGAAAAGTTAAATTTTTCCACCTTTAAGCCACCTTTTGCTTTGTGTAAAAGCGGTCATGTCATTGGATGTGAGGTCAGGGGCTAGCCGCTAGACAAATACTTGTCGCTTTGGTGGGACTCCCACCAGTGGCTTTGGCACCACAGGCCTAGTACCTGTGATGGCAGTATCCGGTGGTCCTGGACATCTATTAGCTGGTGGGAGCGAAACTGAGGGGATAGTTAAGGGGTTGGGTTCGGACTCGATGGACACGGACGCTACAGACATGTCTACCTGCATACTCTCCGAAGTGACGCATTCGGGTCCCGAATCTGCATCACCAGCAGCGATCGTTGCCCTTGGAGTAGCAAACGTAATCAACTGCTGCACTAAGGGAGTGGTCGGAATAAGATTTTCGGCTGCCGGCGGACATGAGGCAGTCGGCACTTGCAAGTCCCGCGGAGTAGACTTCTTGCGCCTCGGAGACTCAGCCAGCAGCTGTAAACTGCTGAACTGAGTGTCCATGGCCAAGAGCCGATCATATTGCTGTTTAAGGCCTACGATCAGCTCTTTTTTGGCACAGACGACAGAAAATTCCATAATCAAGTCTTTTATTTTTTTAATTTCGGGTAAAAAAAGTTCAAAACAAATAGCAATCAGACCACTGTGCAGAGCAAATGCTTAGAGCAATGCTTAAAGCGAAATCGGTAAACGATGAGACAGGAGAGTGGTTGCAGCAACAGTGAGAGCGTTACTGCACAAAAAGTTACAAGAGCGAGAGAGAAAGAACAGTTATTGAGAGTTTGGTGATAGAGAGAGTGAAAGACGGCAATAACTACGACAAAGAGCGGCTAAATGTAATGAGAGAGCGTACTTACGAAAAGCAACAACACAAACACACGACTATCCAACGCACAAAATTTATTAAATAAGTTATGTTTTTACACAATTATCAGGCATGCACCCGCTGTAAAATTATGATTTTAATGTAAGTTAGTTAGAGAGTTAAATTATAGATAAAAAACACTGGCTGTTTAAGGTAAACAAAAGGAAAATGCGGAGCGCAAAACAAAAACACGTCTGGGCACTACGAAAGAGAACGAACGAACATGCATTAATTGCCTCCAATCCGGACATAGGGTATCTCAGTTCACATCCTCTAAGTGCAGAGTTTGTTCACAGACCCTCTTGCATAGATATGCAGCTCAGAGCGCAGATTCACAAAGTCAGGCAATTGGGGTACAAGGCATCCAGTGAGCCCGAGCATGTCATCCTTGCCACAGCAGTGGTAAGAGTTCGGGACAGCTTTAGCCAAGTTCACTTAGCAGAGTGTCGTTGGGATTGGGGTTTACAGGTCAATTTCATAACAGAAAGTCTTGCGGAATCGCTGAGGTTGCCAAGGGTCAACCGTTGCTTGACAGTGACATCTGTAGGTAAGTCAAGCTCGGTGTCGAGGAGTGAAGTATCGACGACAATATACTCCAGGTTAAATAACCATAGTTTTGTAGCAGATTTCTGGGTTCTTAGCAGCATTACCAATCAGCAGCCTGACAGAAGTCTGCCCATTAAGCAGTGGAAAATTCCTGCGAGTGTTGAGTTAGCAGATCCAGCATTCCATCGACCTCAAAGGGTAGATATGCTGATTGGAGCAGACTCGTTCTTCGATCTGTTGTGTACAGGCCAAAAA